TCGATGATGTCGCCATTGGGGTCAATCATATATGGTGTCTTTCCTGATGGCCAGATGAATGAATACCCAAGGTCAACGCAACGTTTCCCCATCGACATCACTGATGGAGTGTCCTCCAAGATGTGTGCATGTGCAGGTTCGTCAAAGGCTTCGAACTTGATGTCAGAACGTTTGGTTGAACTTGTGACGCCATTGGCAGTGTGGAAGTTCACCACCGCGTCATCATAAGTTGGCAGATCCATTCTGTCAATCTTCTTGGCGGATATCAAGTCGTGTCCGCTCCCTGAGTCCATAATGAACCTCTTGTCTCTCTCCTCAACTGGGACCGTGATGCACATGACGTTGTCCCTTTTCCCGTAGCGCCCATCAACATGTTGGACATAATTCTCAGTGAATACTTCACGTGTGACATCATCATCATCATGTTCCATTTTGATCATAATGTCCAAAGTTGGGCCAACGATGATAAGGACTTCGTCAATGTCACAGTAGTCATACTTCTCATCCAGAATAATAGCCATTGCCTTCCCACGACTTTGAGCAAGTCTGCAAGAGTAGGCCCACTGTTCATCTTTTCTAATCTCATCAGTGGTTCTGCACAACTTGTTGTGCCCTTTAGAATGAGTTTGGGACTTTCGTGAGCACCTCACATAGTCCTTCTTCTCATAGACATAGACTTCATCTTTCTGTGGATTGAACTTCACCTTCTTCTTCATTACATTGGAAGCAATCATGAAAGGTGGCTCATCTACGTCGCTGTCATCGTGGAGAAGTGCAGGGGCCGCTTTTGAGGACGATGGAGATTCTGTGTTTGGTGCGGTGTTGAACAAATGAGCGTCATGTCGTTTGTTACACTGTTACACTTGTCACCATATCGACATTTCCCTTTTGCCCAGTGCCAACATGGCTCGTCGATCTTCTTGGTCTTGTTAGCTGGGGATTGTCCTCTGGGCGTCTTGCCGCCCCCTTTACCATGTCCACCGCTCTTGCTGGCGTCAAACACCTTTTGATCATGGCTGTACTCACAGTCCTTTCCTTTCCTGCAAGATTTCTTGATGAAGTGGAAGTGACATGGTATCTTCTTTTTGTCGCGAGGACTGGCACTTCGGCTCTTTGACTTTCCTTTTCTTCCTTGCCCTTTTCCTTTGGCATGTTGCTTTGGTTGAGGTGATGGTAGTACAGGAGCAGCATCAGACTTTGCTTTGGGCTTCGGAGCAGGCTTCTCCTTTGCGTTGGCCTTTGCTTTCGCCTTGGCGTTCGCATCAGGAGGAGCTGGAGCAGTTGGAGTAGGCGCAGTCGGCCTACCACCGCCGGCAAAATCTCTGGCATACTTTTCCCTGGCCGCGACATGCTTGTCTTCTCTGATCCTGGCAATGTGGCGCTCAATCGCATTGATGAGATACTGGTAAGTTCTCCTAGGATCTCCCTCCAACCATGATTCATATTGCTTGATGTCATCTTTCTTCTTTCTTTCTTTGTGCCATAGGCATGTGTGAGAAACGATGTAGTTGGTTATGTACAATGGACTGGAAACATGCCCGTAGGCGCCCCTAGCTAAGGCCAACATTAGCCACTCTCAGTACATCTCCGGGTGCACGAGAAAAGTACGACTGGTAACTATTTGGTATCGGGGTCCAGGTCAAGGCCTGGTGATTGAAATTAGAACTCAAAATTCATTGCAGCTTGTTGGATCATCAACAACTCATTTTGGGATCGGTGGAACTCATTTTCACCGGGCTGTAGTTTTTCCCAAACATATCGTAAAGTAGTATAATGCATCACGCAACCAATCATCTTGGGGCACGTCCTCAAATTGGAGTTTCTGATCTTCTTGTATAATGCATCACGCAACCAATCATCTTGGGGCACGTCCTCAGGCATCATGTTGGAGACAATCTCCATCCACTTTTCATAGAACGTTTCAATGTTGGCATCACCAAGGTATCGTGATTGAATGATATGCTCCATAGTGAAGGCAGTTTCACGTTGACCTGGTGTCCTGAAATGCTCCAGAATCATGGCAAGAATCTCTCGCCCCATGACAAAGGTTGATCTCCGATTGCTGGCTTGGGTTCTCAGTCGAAGCTTGATTGCAACATGTCGAGCTACATCACCAGCTTGTGAAATAACGTTTGATAGTGCAATAGAAAGCTTCGCATCAATCGACTGAAACCTTTGCCCTCCGCTATCATTCAGAGCATCGATGTCAGGGTTTTGCCTGAGTGCAGGTTGTAACCAAGCTTCCCATGCGGCTCGATCGCCGTCGTTGGCAGCGAGGCATACACTTTTAATCAGATCAGATTGCCAAACGCCCAAATTCTGGTGCTTTGGCCACGGACTGACATAGACTTTGTCCGCTTCTCGTCTGGATATCCTTGGAGGTTCTTCAGCAGTGAAAGCAGTCGTAGACTCCAAATCAATTGCTGAGTCCCTCTGCGATCCACGAAGCGAAGGTAAACCAGGTGGATTAGGAGGCCCAGGGGGTCCGTTAGGATCAGGAGGCCCACCTGGGAAGTCAGGATCATCGTTGCCGTCAGGTCTTCGGTAGTTGGGAATTCCTGCCCCTTCATCCACGCTGACCCCTTTTCCGTCCAGGATCTTCTTGTTGACCTCACGCAGGAGCTCGGTCACTCTCTGATTCTCCGGATGTGAGGGTTGCTGTTGTGCATGTCCTGTACCCGCGGCAGTGTTAGAATGAGCCGTTGCTGATTCGTTGTTGAGCTCGTCATCAAGCTGTCGAATCCAAGCACGTAGAATATTCGACTCATCATTTGCCGCTTCAACCTCACTCTCCAACTTGCCGATCATCATGTAGGGTGACAGGGCACTGCTTGTGATACCTGCAGAGAAGGGAAATGCATTGAGATTCTCTTGGCTTTTGATGGCTAGCTCTGCGTCTATGAGACCTTTCCTTAATCTGGATATCTCCGCATCTTTCATCACCAATTTCTCATCCCTATCTCTCAGCTCACCCAAATATTCACATGATCGTTCGTATTGTTGGGCTCCTGTGGCTAGCTTGTACTTACGTTCACTCTCAAGCTCTGTCCTAAGGATGGCGACCTCGGATCCGAAGGGGGTCGCTGACCCTTGCCTCGAAACCTCGGCCAATTCATCCTTCAGTCTGATGTTTGTGTACATACATTCATCCATTTCTTCAGAAAGATCTTGGGCCCTAACCTGTGCGACCTTAACCTCAGTTTCGAGATGTTGTATAGCATGTTGGTTAGAACCGTGGCCGATGGCCATTGGGCCCTCCTGAAGAGACCGTCTCAGTTTGACGTTTCGGTCCTCAATCTCTGTCTTGAGCTCGTTCGTCAGCGCTCGCTCATTGTTGTATAGCATCTCATAGTGCTCCATCTTCTCGCGAGCATTTGAGCTGACGCTTGATTCAAACCTCAATTGAGCAATAGCCTCAGCCTCGGTGTTCCTGTAACTTGCAAACCGTTTGACTGTGTCATGTTCTGTGTTTCGATGACGTAGATCACTCTCCAGTTTAGCATTGTTGGCTTCATTGATTTTCTTGCGATACTCTCTAGTGATCTGCTCCATGTTGTTTTCATACAACTCGGCTTGCTTACGGGAATGACTGATTGCTTCACTCAACATTTGGTTCTCATCAGTGAGCTCGTTGACAATGAAGGCTTGTCTTTGACTTGTCATCTCCAAATGAGTATGTGAGAAGTTTGCCAGTTCGGATTGACTACGATATTCCACTATGGAACTTTCAAGATTTCTCTGCATCTCGTTTCCTTCCTTGTACAATGTTTCGGCTACACTCCTAGCAAGGCTACTGTCATGTTGCATCTGTTGAAGACGTGATTCAGTATGCCCAAGTAGTCCTTGAAGGTGGTGCACCTCGTCCTTGTACTCTTCCTGGATCTCAATACCACGTTGGTGGATTCGTCTGGCACCATGTTCGGCGAGTGCACCTCGACGTTCAAGTTCTTCAATACGAATGGTTGCACCTTCATCTTCCTTGGAGGCTAACATCAACTCAGCATGGTATTCAGATACTTCATTCGTAGAGTACATCAATCGTTTGTTGAGGGTGTTAATTTCATTGAATACCTGTTGATTGTGTCCACGAAGATATTCGGTGAACTTGGCCTCAATGTCCTTAATGACTTGATCCCTTGAAGCTGCGTACATCTCGGTTTGTGTCACTTTCTCTCTCAGAATTTGACATTGCTCTCTAAGTTCTTCAATGATAGCTATTGGTTCACTGCTACCACGTGCTTCTGTTGATCTTCTTTTGGCACTGACATCACTTGACTCCCTACCATGTTTGTCCTCGACTGCCCTCGGGGTCCTGTGTCCGGTAGGTGTCCTTCTCGGTGATCGGTGGCTTCGTCGTGCATTCCCACTTCGAGCCACATCACGTGCCGATCTTGGAGTACTGGTGGTTGATGCTCTTCGATGTCTAGAAGTCATCTTTTGCCATCCAGATTTTGTCGTCCTTGTCGACTTTTCCCCGCTGTCAGCTGTTCCTGGAGAAGATTGTGATATACCTTCTGCAGGGGCTGCGGCGTTGCCGTCAAAGGTGAACTGCGTCTCTCCGCTGTCGCCTTGCATCTTTGCGATGCTGGTGCTGATCGGATTTCACGATCTTTTGCACCCAACGTTGGTTAACAGCACGCAGGTACTCCGCCTCCGATGGAGGTTGAGAGCCCTTACGGCTGATAACCTGTGAACAGAATGATCCCTGTTCCGGATGTGATTCAACTCGTTTCAGAATACCTTGCGTTTTTGTTTACCAACGTTTCAACGGCATGCAGCGGAAGCGCAATTGATTTTCCTTGATATGGGCACTTGAGCCAAACATTGCGTTTGGCGGTCAATCCCTTGAAATAGAATGGGAAGTATGTATACTGTATTCCCATCTAGTCCCCATTTGCATAGTGATTGCCGGCATGACCATACATCAATCGCCACATCCCATCATCAGTTGTAACCATGATTCCGAAGCTTCTCAGGATGTCGGCTGAGTCAATGGCAACTTATTGAATGCCCGTTCGGATACCATGAAATCTTGGATCTTTGCAGAGTGACACGATTGGCCTCGTCGCCAGCTTGTCGACCCTTCGGATCGCTTCGGCGAGCCTCTCTGCATAGTTCCTCTCAACCCAAACGTGGTATGGATGAGTGTCCGTGATGAGGAATGCAAAAGATATCCAGAAATGGATGGTCACATTCTCCTCGGCTGTAATGTTTGGCATCACGCTCTTGATCAAGTGCTCGACTGCATCGAGGAACTTCTGGGCTCTGGTCACGCTCTTGAAGCTGTTGATGTCAATGACCGTGACGACATATCCCATCTCATCGAGCCCATACTGGATGTTCGTTGTCCCCCCTGAGTTCGCTTGGCACTTGTAGTTGAGATCCGTGATCAAAATGGTCTTGCCAAACCTGAACTTTCCTGCCAATTCATCTTTCTCCTTCCTCACCATTGGCTTATCCACAATGGTCCCACCGATGCCTGACATCAGGCCTCGCTTCCACTTGTCGTAGCTGCGATCGGTGGCCCGTGCATCATCATTCTTCTCCACCATGACTGTCATGGACCCAACAGAGAGGTAGTAGTTCTGGTAGACCAACCCCCCACGCTTTGCTGCAGCGTTGTAGATCCTCAGCCACTCCATGCGTATGGGTAGGATGCTTCACCAATCTCTCTTGCATTGGCGAGTCCAAAACATAAGCAGGTGTATGTAGCTACCCTCCTGAGATATTGACGCCAAGTTGATTGCACATTGTGCGCCATTGGTCCTTGGATATGCGACAATGCGAACTCGGTGTCAGAGGTGCCCACATGGGAATTCAAGATCGATCTCACCTGAGTTCCCGTGTAATCTGTCAACACTCTGCAATATGTGATCACATTTGATGGTGTCATTGGTGGGACATAGTCTGCTGCTGGAGTGTCACGCCTTGGCATTGGTTTCGCCGCAGGTTTGGGTGCCGCCTGTGGCGGTGGTGGTCCAGCTGAACTTGACGCTTGAGATCCCGATGCACTCGGTCCTGGGGGTGCCGATGGTGATGTCGGTCTTGCCTTCGGCGGTGGTGGTTGAGCCGATGGGTAAGGCTGTGGTGGTGCCTTGTATCCAGGTGGTGGCATAGGAGGTGGCTTTGGCGTGAACCTGTTGACCCTTGGTGCAGGCACTGTTGGGTCCTGGATCGTGACCCATTCAGGAATCCACGACCTCGGCGGTTCTGGTGGCCAAACTCCGTCACCAAACTTCAAGACTTTTCTCCATCCACTTGCAGCCACTTGTACTCCAGGTTGTCCTCCACCAGCCTGAGTCTCAGAGAGGGTTGTCATGAAATCCCTCAAGGCAGAAAAGCATTTGTTTCTTTTCTTGATCTCACCGTGGTTGCCCTCCTCAACGTTGATGACATTGTAGCCATGGTTCTGCAAGATTTCCGAAGTGATCATCAGAGATTGTTGAATCTTGGCGAAATAGTCGTCAATCTTCCTGACGTTCGCCCTTGCAATCTCAGAAAAGTGCCACAACCTATCCAGCTTCGCCCTGGCCCTGAAGATCGGTGGCGACAGAGCCAAAATGCAGGTGAAATGGTTCACCGCGGCAGCTCGTTCGCGGCCCAACTTGGTATTCTGCTCGATGAGGTCATTGATCGTTGTCTCCAGCGTCATAGGATCCACCATCTCTCCCTCATCATCGACCTTTTGGTTGTAGCATCTCCATGCATGCCCAAGATGGATGACTTGACGTTGCCACTCATCGAGCATCGCATTGAATGTGTTCTGGGTTGATGTCGACTGCCAGGACGTGCCCATGTCGAAGTAGTGGAGCTCTCGATGAATCGCTCTAAACGAGATGGTGATGGGCGCATCAGGGACAGACGGATTGAGAACTCCGTCTTTCTTCCTAGTAGCGCTCAACCATGTGTCCTCTGCCGGAACAGATTGGTTCACACCTCGTAGGTCACCTCCGAAAGGTCGAAGCTTGAATTCACGAAGGTGATCACGTAGCATCGATACTGTAAATGCTCCATCGGTTCGAATCGGGTGAGGTACGTGGAAGTTCTTAATGCATTCCCACATGTTTCCCAATCCATTGATGCATTCCGATGTGCAAAACCCAAGAACTTTGTGATTGCTCCGAGATGCCAGTTGAACAAAGGTCTTCATGTAGGTGGTGCACTTGTCCAAGAATCTTTTAGCTCCAGTGTTGAGCTCCTCCTGGTTCTTGATCAATTCCAGGAGCTGGAGGTACAGTGTGATCGCCTCCACCTCGGACCGATTCGATGGCACCTTCCCCAAGTAGCAGGCTGAAGCCGCCGCGATCGGACTAATCCCAATCGCATGCCACTTGTTGACCGTCACGTCAGGCTGGCTGTTGATGGTCGGGTCATACTCCTTGTACATGGCTGGAATGACACCTTGTCTGCCATTTTCTCTCAACGTGATGAGGATCTTGCCGATGTCGTTGAGATCATGTTGCGCAGAACCAATGATCTGCGTGTAGTTCGACATGGCAACCTTACCGATCGGTTCACGTAATCCTGGTCGGCGACGTCCGATCCAGTTTCCGATCCCCTGTTCGGTGGTGCACAGCGAGTGAGCCCTTTCGAGATCACGTACTTCCGGTCGGCGACGTCCGAACCGGTTTCCGATCACTCGTCCGGTGTCACACGATGGGTGAGAAGCCGCAAAAGTCTTGCAAGACTGACTTCCCGTAGTTTGATGTCCTGAGAAATCAGGGTCAACATTGATCCGACATCGGTTCTTGTGAAACATCATCAACCACATGAGATCTGCTGCAACTTCATCATTGTGGTATGCAACTGATACCGCTGTCTTCTTGATGGAACGTCTATCATGCATGCAACTGCTGCATGTGTCATCTTCGTTTGACAACGACTTCTTGAACCGAATAGACACATTCCGACATATCGTTTTCAAGATGATGTCGACGATCTGCTGGGTGTAGGTCTGAGTGACCTTTGTTTCGCGACCTTCACACTTCCCATGATCATGTCTTCGGTCACATTTCTTGTGTAAATCAAACTTGACCCCCCACGATACAATCCTCCATGGCTTCTTAATAGGAATATGACGATCATCAAACTGTGTCTTCAGACCATACATACATCCGTCAAAGTCATGGACATGTGAGTCTGTACCTTCAATCATGCACTTCATCCGTTCATCATGCCAATAGTCGCAACCTCTTGGTAATTCCAATAGTGCCATGGCATCCAACTTGATCACTTTCAGAAGACAATTCGAAAACTCTTCCCATAACTTCCAGTATAGACGTGCTTTGGCGTTGATCAAATGAGCGGTAAGCCAACTGACTCTTTTGTTCAGCCTGTTCCATGGAGATCCGCCTGTGCAAGGTCCAGCGAAGAAGACGCAGTCCTTGTTGCTGCGGAGGCATCTCCTCCACTTCGCACACCCATATCTGGAGAGAAGGTCATCATCCTCTGTAATCAATTCCAGATGAATAGATGCATCCATAATTGCACTGTATCTCTTTGTCATCAAACTTGAAGGCTCAGCACACATCAATATCATAGCGGGTGTACTTTCGGGCAATTCTTGCAATGTAATGGTGACGTTCTTCCCCAAATATTTTGTACTCTCGAGATCGGGAATAGATCTGACGAACGTATACTTCATGCATTGCCCATTGTCACGAACCAATAATAAATTGATCATACTGTCCGCAAATATGTTCAACCAATTGTCATTCTTGTTCTCTTCGATCATCATCCGATATGTGTGGGGAATAAATATTTTGTTCGGTGAAATGATGTCCAGACCCATGGCGTGAACACAAGCCATCAGATTATCATCCATAATGCAACTCGCAATCGGAAGAACCTCCTGATGTCTCAACACGCGAAAGATAGACTTTCCAGTCCCGAACTCATTTCTATTGTTTGACCTTTCTCCATTATCACCAGGGAGACGCCAATTACTTTTGTCCACCCTCACATTCGACTGGAACTTCAATTGAGTTTCTCTCCAATCTTGAATCAGACGATGATCACAGGGACAGTCTTCACAATCACTTGGAACGAACATTTCTCTTCTTGGTATATTGTGGATCCTTTCCAGAACATGATCACCTATCCATCTCCATTCATCACGAACAGGAACTTCATCATGACCACATTCAGTTGCTGATGCTACTTTCTTGGTGTTTCTTCTCCGTATATGCGATTTTGTTGACTGTAAACTCTTTGTTTTGGAACTTGGCGACTTTGAATCCTCCATGCCTCTCCCCCCATGAACAAGGCGTACTAGGGCATTGATCACCCTTATAGTCATGGGATGTCCGTCATGTAACGTGAACGGAATCTTCTGAGTACATTGAGCTTGTTCAAAGAGTATTTCAGTACTGAATGTGAGGCTCGGATGATTGTCCAGTTCAAACGTCGCCGCACGTGAGAACTGTGCTCTGGCCGCCGTCGACGCACATGCGGGCAGTGAGACAATCGGAGCGGAAGTGGGATAATGATATTGAAAACATGCCCTTTCAACCCATTTGTCAAAACGTGATTGTTGTAACAATGGTGGAACACGATCCTCAACTCTTTCCCACTTCCCGTGGACTAAGATCCAGGTGCTCTGAAGGCAATCTGCAGGAAGTTTGACACCAGCTGGTCTTGTTCGGAACAATGTAGGGGTTTTGACCACAAAGATAGGATCCAAACCAGGTAGCTCTTGAAGCTTTTCTCGACTTGAAAGACCCTTACGGTACACCTCAGGTGGCAGTATGGGTGTTTCAGTGTATGGAGAATTGGGAACCTCATCTGTCCTTGACTGAAAAACTTGACGAACTGTAGTGTCAACATCCGTAGTGGGCTGCACTAGGTCTGCCAATTGCTTCGAACCAAGGTCTTCGGGTTCCAAAAGATTGATCAACATGCATGCCTTTTTCCAGGCAAGTGGGTTTGTAAAACCTTTTGTGTGGATGTCCGCGGCCATCTTCGCTGTGATCTCATACATGAGAACAAAGTGATCTTTGCTGAAATGCTCATGTAATGACGTAATAGAAATTCCATGAGTCCTTTCCAAATGCCGCATTGTTGGATTCCTTCCAGAACGAACCACACCAATCATCCCTTGGTTGTCATCATGAAACAACAGCTTGGGAGAAGATTCTGTAAGCGTTTCCCAAATACTGAGTGCAGGAAGACCCATTGTTCGAAGGGTTACATCAGCGGCTACGATCTCAGCTTCAGGTGTAGAATGGCTCACACACCCCTGGCGTTTGCTTCCACCAGCTAACGGAAACCGAGTACGTTTCCCCTGAATATGCATATGAGAACCTGATGTGGACCTCAAAGATTGCGCACATCCCGCAAAGTCAGCATCTGCATATAACGCAATGGATAGATCTTTCATGTCATTGCCGACCCATCCAATCATTCTCTTCCCTAAGGTAGAGTTGACATAGCACATAAGATGGTATAGTTTTGCATCATCTTGTACGGACCATTTTGTCACATTGCGTGCTAATGTATTGATCGATCTCAACAAATCAAATCGGGCGATCCTTGCTGCATATAGAAGCTTCATCAAGATGCTAGCAGCATGAGGGGCAAGTGCACCTCGTTGGACTTCAACAGATTCCGGCCGAGAATCGGAGGCACCGGGCTGTAAGGCAACCGGCAATCCAGGATCAAATTTTGTAGAACACCAAGGACATTGAACTGCATGCTTAGGGTCCCCAGGTGCTGGTGCTCGAGACTTATGTTGTTTTGTCTCTTCAGGGAAACTAGGCGTTGAGACCTGTTTTAATTTGGTATCCTTTCCAACAAGTTCAAGATACCTTTCAACAGAGAGCTTTAAAAGACCCTCCATATTGTAGGTCATAGTTGTGACCTCTGTGCCATCATGAAGGCGATTGGTTCCTTTGCTTAGCAAACAACCAAGATAAAGACCCAGATCAGTCTCTGGTTCTATGCGCAGCTTAGACCTTAACATTTCCCAACCTTTGGTGAGGTTCTGCGCTGGTCCAGCTAACTTTAGATCATCCACATAGATGACTAACAAAAGTTTGAGTTCCTTATGGAAGTACATTGATGGCCATTCCTCCCCTACTGGCATAAAACCAACTTCACGGACATGTTTGTCACAATGTTGTTCCCACATTGTGCCCGCATCAGGGTGACCATAAAGTGCTTTGACAAGTCGCACTACCGGTCTTCTGAACTTCCGGATGTCAACGTCGTCCGGCCATGCATCTTCAGGGAGTTCGACCCAACAAGGAGGTCCCGTAAGCCTCGCTTGAATATACGCTTGTATAGCATCTGCTAACTTCACATTGTGACCGGGGATGCAACCATAGAAATCTGCCCATCGGGAGGCTTCAAATGTCGCTGGAGAATTGCCGAGGTCCTGGAAGAACGCGGCTTCCCAGTGCTGGTTCTTAACTTGATTGCCAAGCAGAACGCCTCTTCCTTTGAACTTACGTCCAGGGCTCCCCTTTGGTAGCTGGTAGTTCTTTTCGACACAAATGCCGTGAACTCGTGCCATGTGGACTTCTTTCTTCTCACGTTTTGCCTCTGCAACAACATCATCGTATTCACGAATAACGGAGAAGTCATACACTCCCTGCTTATGCTGTCCCAACCACTCATTCCTCATAGAAGCCTTGGCGTCCGGGTCTTCCATCATCTCTTTACGACCAACGGGACATGAGACCATCGCATTGAACAACTTCCCAAACCTCACATCAGTTTGACCGAACTTCTCACGATGTTCAAGGTCTTGATGAACACAAGGCATACAAGGAACTGAACTCACGAAGTGGTTGACCTTGGACTTGCCGTTGGAGTCTGTTGAGGTAGGAGTCGCTGGTGCAACATGAGCAGGTGCTGTGACTTTCCCGGTATTGAAGTCATAGTGAACATCTTTCCATTGAGCTCTTGGTCCAATTCCAACTTCATGTTCGGACCATTCGTCCCATTCATTCAGGAACTCTTGACCATCATCATCACTTGGGACGTTTGTACTTGTTTCACTTGGTGCTGATGGAGATGCGGCATCACGCTTCTTGATGTCATCGAGGTCACTCGCTCCATGGGGTGTCGGCGAACATTCCCATGGGTTGCGACCTCGGTTGTGGATCGGTCTCGTCATCGGATCGTGGGGCGTAGATATACGTTCCCACTCTCCTCGGAGCGTCCCCACATTGACAGCAGCGTCCTTGCCACCATCTTTGCCTGAGCTCTCCTTTGACTTCTTATTATCCTTTTTCTTCTTCTTCCGACTTTCATCTTTGGCTGGATCTTTGGAGGAACTTGAATCATGTTTCTTCTTCTCGGAGATTTCGGCCTTGGCCTTCTTTTCTTTCTCCTTCTTCAACTTGATCTCCTTGAGCTTCTCAGCTTCTTCTTCAAGTTTTCCACGACGAATGATGACGTCTCTCTCCTTAGCAGATAGTGCTCTCCATTCTTCAGGACTGTAACTGCTCTTTGGCCTTGGTGACCCTCGTACTTCTTTGCGACCATCTGGACCAACACGGTAAGGTCGCCCACGCTTGTCGAGCTTGACGTGCTCGCCAATGTCGCTGAGGTAGATGATGCCGTCACCAGGTTTGCCCATAGAGTGATGTTCAGGCCCATCATGCGGAGGTTCACCATCAGGAGGAGGTAGAGGAGGACCATCAACAACTTCTACATCATCAGCTTTCTCTTTGTCGAGTTTGATGTCCATTTCCTCCATCATGCGATGAAACTCTTCTTCTTGATGTTCAACTCGATTGGTGATCTTACTCTTCTTAGGTTTGTCATCACCATCCCCTTCATCATCGTCGTCTCCATCATCATCATCGTCTTGCTGATCTTCAAGGAAATCTGGTGATCCTTCAAGACGATCTTTCACTGCTAACCCTTCCAATGTGGTGTTCACCTTCTCATAGAAGTCCTTGCATGGGAACGTCAATGGCAAGTGCACTTCGATCTTCTCAGTGAGATGTGGGTGGCGTAGCTTGTCAATGATTGTCTTAGCATTGAACGAGTAGTTCTGCTTCGTCATGTCAGACAATGCCCATGCCATATATTGCCTTCGCCAATTGACGCCTGGAGCTATTTCATAGCCAGCAAAGATAGCAGGGATACCCTTGGGATCAAACTTGTGAGCTTGTTCATTGGCTCTGGCTCCACTCGGTTTGAAGTAAACCAATGCACCAAATGGGATCTTGTCGCCCTTGAATTCGGCGCCATGGAGCTTACACCAGGCACTCACATCATCTTCACCAGGTTCCACATTGAGTAGATGACATACACATCGTATGGCAAACTTCCAGAAACACGCTGGTAGTCCAGCCTCGAGTAAGCATGTGGTAGTAGTTGCAATGACGAACTGGTTGTTGCGCTCGGCAAGAGAATTTGTCGAAGGTCTTCCCGGCAGAGCATGATCAAAGGGAATCTTAAGAGCCTCCATGCCCTTGACAAACTGTCTGGCTTTGTCGGAGTAAGCTTCCCTGATTGTTCGTCTTCCCATAAAGTACTTGACCGCTCTCACAACATCTTCAGTGTTCTTGGTTGGAGAAGGGTAACTCTGAATGATGCCGGTATACCTGTCTCGAATGACGAGAATTTCTTTGACCGTGTCATAGCCCAACTTGGTCGTCTTGCGAGTATCCACGAAGTCGAAGGTGATGAGGTCGCCGAACTTTGTAAGCTTTCGGCGGAATGCACCACGGTAGGTCTTGTGATGCTTCATCTTGGCCCTAACACAAGAATTGCAGTATGGGTTCTTGTATCGATGTGTTAGAAGATGTTCAAGAGTACGAGCTTCATGTTTCAACGTACCTCTCTTTGACAGACGTACTCCTCCATCAGGGTCATCAACATCGATATCATCCTCATCATCTTCTTCTTCAGGTGGTCCATGTTCAACACCAATTTCATCTTCATCGGATTGATCGACTTCTGGAACGTCATCAGCTGCTGGTACTCGATCGTCATCATCTTCTTTGTCCTCATCCTCACCAGGAACTTCATCAACATGAACTTCATCATCTTCTGGATCTTCTTCGCGGATGGATTGTTCATAGCCATCATCATCATCGAGTTCTTCACCAGCTGCTACCGGAGTCGTCTTTCGTTTGGAACGCTTCTTCTTTTTCGTCTTCTTCAGAGACTTCGTTGGACCGTCGACGTACGTACCAACTCCATCATCTGATTCGGACATTTCATCACCGCTTTCACCATCAAGATAGATCGTCCTTGATGCATGGTTGTTGCCGTTGAGACCCAACACTTTCATCACTAACTCGGCCTCGTAGTCTGACGATGGCCTGTAGTCCTTGGCTCCAAGGTAGACATATGGGATGAGATCATGAACTTCCATCTTGATCTTGCCACCCTCAGAGTTGATCATGTAGGGTTCTCTACCGCTAGGCCATACGAAGGAGTAGCCTTGCTCCATGCATCGTTTTCCCAATGACAAAACAGATGGGGTATCTTCCAACACATGAGCTCTTGCAGGATCATTGAACGTGTCGAAATCCAAATCCACCATCGTGGTTGTTGACGTGATGCCATTTGCAGTGTGGAAGTTAACTCGATCACTCTGGTAGGTGTCAATGTCCATCCTATCCACTCTAGTAGATGAGATAAGATCATGACCACTGCCAGAATCCATGATGAAACGTCGGTCCTTGAGCTCGATCGGCATAGTGATGCACATGACGTTGTCACGACGACCATATTGTCCTGGAACATGAGGAATCACTTCCTCATAGCATATCTCTGCTCGTGAGTTGTTCTCCAAGAAATCAATATTGTTGATCTTGAGCTTGATATCATTCTTGGGTCCCAGGATGATGTGTACTTCATCAACATCGGAAAACTCACTATAGTCGTCCATCAATATGCCAATTGCACGTGCTCTTGTCATTCCCAACTTGGATTGTAATACCCATTGTTGGTCATCTATGATCTCTTTGGTTGTTCTGCACGTCAATGACTTCTTCTGAGCTCTGGACATGTTTCTCTTCGGTTTCCTGTTGGGACACTCCACAAAATCAGGCTTCACATACACGATGGTTTCCACCTTGTCATTGAACTTGACATCCATCTTGTTCTTCTTCTCGATAGGCACTGCGTTCACGATGAAATCGTCATCGTACTCACGGACTAATGCCGGAGTAGCTTTGGCGTCGGGCGTCTTTGTAGAAGGCGCCGCTCTCTTGCCCTTCATGTTTGGGTCATGCTTGAAGGTACATTTGTCACCTTTCTGACAATCGCCCTTCAACCAACCATAGCAATGTCGATCCTTCTTTCCGCCAGGGGTCTGCGATCTTCTTGGAGTAGCCGATCTGCTGTTCTTCCCTTTTCCACCTTTGTCCTTCCTCTTGTCCCAATGATATTGGGAGTGACTGTACTGGCATTTGTCACCATGCTTGCAATTGCCCTTGTTGAAGTGAAGTGACAAAAGGTCTTTGAAGTATCTCGTGTGGAAGGTGATCTCGATCGTTTGCCACCCTTGCCTTTCCCCTTGCCATGGCTCTTGGGATTGCCGGAAGGTAGAACAGGAGCTCCAGGTTTGCCTTTGGGTGCTGGAGCACTCGGTTTTCCACCTTTTCCATCTTTCGGCGTAGGAGCCGGAGCCGTCGGCTTCGGAGCTGGGGTAGAAGGCATACCAAGATTGGTGTAGTCCGTGGCGAACTTGTCCCTGGCCGCGATATTGCGGTCTTCACGTGCACGTGCTATGTGCCTCCTCATTATCTCCAAGAGTTCACCATATGATTTCTTCTTGTCATCATTGTCCCTACCTTTGAAGATCGTGAGGTCAACGTGCAACGCCTGGGAACCGTCAATCTTCCTCAGCAGATGGTCACGCAGTGTGTTGTCAGATGGGATGTCCTCAGCCTTCATGTTGGCGATAATCTCAATCCAAGCATGGAGGAACTTATCCATCTCCTTGTCACCACGATACTGTAACTTGTAGATGTGGCTGGCATTGAACAATACTTCATCCTTGGATGTTGTTCTGAAATGATCTAAAACCATTGCCAATATCTCTCTGCCCATCAGGAAATTCCCTTCTTTTCCCAACACTTGACTCCTCTGTCTAATCCGAACCTTGACCTCCGATGCTGTCTCGCCAGCGGAGTCTACCATGTTCTGCAAGGCTATGGATAACTTGGAGTCGATGGACTGGAAACGGAATTCTCCTGAATCAGCAAGTTCGGCATAGTCAGGACTGGGTAATAGAGCAGGAGATAGCCATCTTCTCCACGCAGCCGTGTCTGGATCACCTGATGCAACACATACGGCCTGCACGACGTTGGAGCGCCAAACATCAAGGTCTTGACATTTTGGCCATGGTTTGACAGTGACCTTCTCGTGCTCCTTCCTGGAAATTCTGGTTACCCAATCTTTGCCATCTTGACCAGCATCACTGTTTGCAACACTAGCATCTTTGCCATCCTTCCGTTCCCAAAGTCCAGGAGGATTGTCAGGAACGGGCTCAAAATCAGGGGTTTTGTTGTCTTTCAAAGATTCTTGCCCCTCTTCAGCTTGTTCCAGCCAACTTTGGTACTCTTTCATCTCGTCATAGTTCTGTTGAGCTTGTTCTTCAGACCGACGAAGCTTCTCACGAAGTTCATCGATCTCACTGTTGGTCTGGTTCTTGATGGCATTGCTCATGCTAGGTGATGGTGGTGGAGGTAGAGCAGGATCATGATTCTTGGTCGTAGAGGATGCTTTGGGAGTACCCATAGGTGTTGAAATCGATACTGCAAATGATGGAGTCTTGCCAGTAAGTGCAGTCGTCCTCGGCACTAGGGTTGTTGGAGGTACCGCTGATGGTGAAGCTGGTACTGCGGCTCTGGTCGATACTCTGCTCCATGACGCTGGCACCGTACTCATCGTCAGTCTCGCATCATGGAGTGATTGCTTCAATGAATCATTCTTTCTGATCACATGGTCACGTTCAGAGCATGCCGACTGATAGAGCTTCTTGTACCTGTCTGCCTCTGCCTCTTCGGCGTCGATGAGTGCCTCAGCGAGCTTCGGGTTGCTTTCAACTGCTTCTTGAAGTCGACTGATTTCCATGTTGGCTTTGTGAAGTTCTTCACGTAGTTCTTCATTCACCTTAGCATTGTCTTCATCGCCACCAGCATGAAATCGAGATCCAAGAAGTTCAGCAACTCGTGTTCTCAACTGATTGTTGGACTCAATCAAAGCCATGTTCTCATCCATGAGTTCATCCTTGACGCGCTCAATGGTGATCTCCCTGTCCTTGAATGCACTGAGTTCATCATGCTTGAACTGGCGGAACTCGTTCTTCTCATCAGTGAACCGATTTGTATACCATTCCCGGGTAGCACTCTCGTTCTCATTGATTCTCATGAGGCTTCTGATCTCCACCTCGAGCTCGTTGTGCCTCCGGTTGTACTCTTCCTCTCTTTCCTGAATCATGTTCTTCATGTCGCGAACCTTCACAATGTGATCACGATTCGCAACATCCCTGATAGCAATGAGGTTGTCCTTGTGCGACAAACTAGCAGCCAGTTCGTCGATGGTCGATTGCATCTCCACCAGCTGTTCATCACGTACTGCAACAGCTTGTTGGCCATATTCCATGATCATCTCATTGTTGTCAGTCATCACCTGTGATCTCTCTGATAGTTTCAGTTTCAATTGCTCCATTTCTTCCTTGCTCGCATTCTCCCTGTCTTGGACATACTGTGTAC